ATGTCATGGCTTGGGTGAGGCCCACCTTAGTCTTCAAAGTGTTATCTTTGCTCTTTAATACTTTCAAGAAGTCTTTTATAGTAGATTTGCCCAGTGCAATGTGTAGTTTAATGTCTTGCTGCTGCTTCCATAGGTTTGATTGTGTATATAAATAAGATGAAATCCTTAACAACTTCAGTCCTTTGCCCATTTATCATAATATTGCTTAGTGGTACAATTGGGAGGGTTTTTGTTTTCTTTATGTTGAGGTGTAATCCACACTGAAGGCTGTAATCTTTGATCTTCATCAGTAAATACTTCAAGTCATCTTGGCTTTCAGCAAGCAGAATTGTGTCATCTGCATATCATAGGTTGTTAATGAGTCTTCTTTCAATCCTGATGCCACGTTCTCCATGTAGTCCACCTTTTTGTATTATTTGTTCATGACACAGATTGAATAAATATGGAAAGGGTACAACTCTGACACACACCTTTCCTGATTTTAACTACACAATATCTCTTTGTATTGTTCATGACTACTGGCTGGTCTATGTGCAGGTTCTTGATGAACACAATTAAGTGTTCTGGAATTCCTGTTCTTCTCAGTGGTATTCATAATTTGTTATGATCCACACAGTTGAAAGCTTTTGCACAGTCAGTAAAACAAAAGTCAACATCTTGCTTTCAGCCAAGATCCATATGAAATCAGCAGTGATAGCCCTCATCCCATGTCCTCTTCTAAATCTGGCTTGAATTTCTACCAGTTTCCTATGAATGCAGCACTACAATCATGTTGGAATTATTTTCAGCAAAACTTTACTTACATGTGATATTAATGACATTGTTCAATAATTTCCACGTTCTGTTGGATCATCTTTCTTTCAAATGGGCACAATTATGGATCGCTACCAGTTGGTTGACCAGGTAGCTGTCTTCCAAATTTCTTGGCATAAACAAGAGAACACCTTCAGCTCTGCATCCATTTGTTGAAACATCTCAATGAATATAATCTCAATTCTTAAAAGCTTTGTTTTTCACCAATTCCTTAAGTGCATCTTGGACTTCTCCCATCAATACCATTTGTTCTTGATCATATACTACCTTCTATAACAGTTGAACATCAACTGAAGGGTAGACTTAAATTAATTTGGGTGAGGAGAGTAAAATAAATTTTAATAATGTTAATAAAGCTTGTAAATAAACATTAAAGGTACAACAATTGGTCTCTGATAACAGACCAGGACAGGAAGATGAAGAGTCAGTAATTAAAGCAAAAACCAAAAGCAAGTTGATTCTAACTCTCAGCCACCCTATAGGGTTTCCAAGGCTGCAGTTTTTATTATGGAAGCAGAATGGGAAGAAGAAATAGAAATGTATGACTAAATGCCTCTTGTGCCATGAAACCAGAACTGGATGTTCCCAGCTACTATCACAGAATATTTTGATTGAAGAATCCTGATCCAAAGTGTGATATAGTAGAAAAGAATGCCAACTTTCCATGGAATGCAGGCTTTCTCTAGCCATGGAGGGTGGCTGAGATCTTGAAACTTTAAATCTTAAAAATCTTTAGACTTTAAACTTAAAATATCCCCTGAAGTCTTTAAATAGTTTTGCTTAACTAGTAAAGAAATTATTCTTGAGCATTTTGGTCTTTTCAGATCTATCTATATGGGATAAATTGAGAATGGCAATTCAAAACCTTACATAGCAAACATAGAGGGCAGAGTTTATGTTAACGGGGGTGAACAACTGAAAAAAAGAGGGTGAGAATGATTGCACAATTTGAAGAAAGTAAACAGTGTCACAGAATTGTACATGTAAAAATTGTTGAATTTGTATATATTCTGCCATTAATATTCTTAACAATAAAATAAATTATTGAAAACAAAAAGGAATCTAATTGAGAAAGAAGACTAGGAAGTTGGTTTGTACATGACTTGGAAGGCCCTTGAATATAAACTGAAATGATTGAATTCTATTTGTTGGAATCTTACAGACAAAGAATGAACTTGATAAATATGATTTTAAAAATTGAAGTTATCCTAGGAACTGGCCCAAGTCATGAATTACAACACAAATCACCTTATTCTAGTGTGTTCTGTATTAACAAGCTTGTCAAAAGTTTGAGAACCAACATTAAGGGTTTGTAGACTCTATAGGAATCCCTCTCCTCACCTGGATCCCTGAGACTGACTGATCTGTTCCGGTCCCCTTTGCCTTTTCTGTCCTTTCCCTGCTTTCCCGCCTTGCTGCTTATGGGGCGTGGCCTGGGTTCTCAAACTGCTGTGCATGGAGTCGGTATGAATCGGAAACGACTCGATGGCACCTGACAGCAACATAGGAATCCCTTGAAGGAGCTCTGATGGCATAGTGCCTAAGGCATCAGAAGGTTGGTGGCTCAAACTCACCAGCCACTCTGCAGAAGGTGGGTGAGGCAGTCTACTTCCGTAAAGAATTAACCACCTTGGAAATCCAGTGGAAGTCCCTAAAAGTCAGAATCAACTCCACTGGCAGTGGGTATTTTTTGTTTTGTTTTGTTTTGTTTTGTTTTAAATAGGAATCCCTTAGAGCTGAAATACAATTTATGTATTTATTTTATTGTGCTTTAGGTGCAAATTTACGGAGCAGAATTTGTTTTACATTCAACATTTTGTGTACATTTGGTTTCACTCCCCAGTTACCATCCCCAGCCCTAACCCACTCTCCTCCTCTCCCTTCCCAGTAACCACCCCCCTCCCTGTGCCATTATTAGTTATATGTGTCCTGCTTTTCCGCCATGTGAATGTTGCCCCTCTCATGCCTCATGACCAGTTGCTCCAAGGGATGTATCTCCATACAGTATGTGGGTGGCATCACCCTGGGGTGAGTGGTTTGTGTGTATATCTTATTTACTATTGGGCTCAGAGCCAGCCATTGGGAGTAGTTTTATCCCATGCCTAAAGTGTATCCCAGGGCCATAGTCTTGGGGATCCCACCAGATTCCATCCAACCAGTATTTCTGGTCATTATTGTGTTCTTGGATTTTGCTCTTTGTTTTTCCTCCCATTCTATCCAGGATCTCCAGTTGTGATTGCAAGTGGTTGGCATTGGTAGCCGGGCACCATCTAGTTCTTCTGGTCTCAAGGTCCATCATGTCCTAGGGCTGATTGTTTCCAAATGCCCTTGGTTTTCTTCACTCTTCTTTGCTTTCAATGATAGAAGAACATTAGTTGTATCTTAGATGGCCATTCAAAAGCTTTTAAGACCCCAGTTGCTACTCACCAAAGTAGGTTGCAGAACAAGATTTTTATGTATTATGTTATGCCAATTGAGTCTGGTGTCCCCCAATAGTATGGTCCTGAGGTCAGCAGATCTGTTGGATCTCTCTCCCACGGTGTCTGACTATCTATGAGGGATTGCTCTATATTTGTCTTCCGTTGCTTCTGTAATGATTGCAGGTATTTTGTATCACTGGTATCTGTGCAAGATTAGCCTCAGGTGAATCTATCTTTGGTGTAGAACATATTCCTATTCACTGACCCCAATCTCATCTTCTCAGTTGTCTATATGTTTATCTGTAGCCTGATGCTTGATGTTAATGTTGTTGTTGTTGTTATGTGCCGTTGAGTCGACCCCTACCCATAGAGACCCCTCCTTGGGTTTCCGAGGCAGTATCACTACGGAAGTAGATTGCCCAACCTTCCTTCTGAGGAGTGGCTGGTGGGTTTGAACTGCCAGCCTTCTGGTTAGCAGTCAAGTGCCTTAGGCACTATGCTACTAGAGCTCCTTTTAATGTTAATAGTAATGCAGTATTGTGGATGTACTGGGATTAGCCTCTGTTGTCTATATCTTAAGTGCACAATTCGGTGTCCTCCCTTTCCCCAATGTTATCATGGTGGTCATATATTCCTTCCATACCATCCCTCCCCTTGCCTACCTAGTGTGTGACCCCCAACTAGCTGAAATTATCCCCTCCTCTCCCCAGTAACCTACAAAGTGAGTTCCCTTCCCTAAGTAAACCCTTCCTTGTCGTTTTACAATAATGGGCTCATACAATATTTGTCCTCCTGCAGTTGACTTATTTCGCTCAGCGTAATATCCTCCATGCTCACCTAAGTTGTGAGATGATTCTTGTATCCTTCATTGTTCTTTAATGTAGCATAGTATTCCATTGTGTGAATATAGCATAGTTTGGTTATCCTTTCATCTGCTGATGGGCATTTAAGTTGTTTCCATCTCTTTGCTACAGTGAATTTTGCTGCAGTGAACATGGGTGTGCATATGTCTGTTCGTGTCCTGCCTCTCACTTCTTTAAGATATATTACTAGTAATGGAATTTCTTGTTCAAATGGTATGAAATGCAATTTAAAAGTTAAAAATGTGTTTGTTTCAATGGGTGCTATCAAGATAGTTTAAAGACAACCTACAGAATGGATAAATCATATATCTGATAAGAGATATATGTTTTTAACTCAATAATTAAAATACAACCCAGTTTACAAATGGACAAAAGATTTCAGATTCTTTGTAAATATTTTACAAAGAATATAAGCATTTGAAAAGATGCCCAGTGTCATTAGTCATCAGTGAAATGCAAACCACAATGAGATACCACTTTACACCTACTATGATCAGTGTAATAAAAAAGATGTACAATAACTGGTGTTAGTGAGGATGTAGAAAAATTACTTGTGGAAATTTAAATTTAAATTGTGTATTACTTGTGGAAATTTAAATTGATGCAGTCACTGTAGAAAAGTCTGACAATTCCTCAGAAAGTTCCCATTTGGTCTACTAATATCACTCTTAGGAGAATCAAGAGAAATGAAAACATATGTCCACACAAAAACTTATCTACAAATGTTCATATTATATGATCAATTATTCATAATTATTCTTGTCTATTTTCCTACAAATTCAGTATCTTGAATTCAAGGTTATGAGCAACCCAAAATATTATATAAATGGTATGAGAACATAGAGATAGTTCTGCTAGAAATGCATGATTTGGATTTTAATATTTGTTCAATCTTTATTTCCAGTGATGAATTACGCCTGGGCCATGAGAAGGAGCCTGCCTTTAGAGATTATATAGCTGTAGCACGGGGGAGCAAAGATCACAACATTCGTGCTCAAGAAACAGATAGTGGGCTTTCAGAAGAAACTCAAGTAAAATGCTTGATTGACCAGGCAACAGACCCCAATATCCTTGGCAGAACTTGGGAAGGATGGGAGCCCTGGATGTGAGGTCTATGGGAGTCTGCAGATTTAAATCATTAAATTGTTCAAGAATCTCCTAAGCTTTCATGTATACCAGTCAATGGACTGGTTTTCCTGAAGGCCCAAAGATAAATGTTTTCAGATTGGCTTTTAGATTTTGTTGTTTTTCTTTTGTTAAGATACTTATATTTGGAAACTTGTGTGTGATTCTGTGATTTTTGGGTGATAAATGCTCATAAGAATATGGAATATGAAAGTTTTGTCAACATTAAAATTTTAAAAATCAGTGTATAGTATTTTCATGCAGTTTTGAGTACAGAATGTTTTATCTTACAAAATAATGCACTATATTATTTCCAAAATTCATTCTGATAACTACAGGTGGAGTGTATTATGTCATTAATAAACATCTATATCGTCAACAAATGAAATCTATTTGATCAAGGTAATTCCATCTTTAGAAAAAGTAATTGATCCTGTGTGCACATCTGAAAATATTTTTTTTTTTTATAGCTTAAAAACAACCAAAACAATGCTACTTAGAGTTACTTTGATATAAGATGGGGCAATCTACTTCCGTAGTGATACTGCCTCAGAAACCCAAGGAGGGGTTGCTATGAGTTGGGTCTGATTGGATAGCACATAACAACAACAACATTATTTTCTATAATTACTAGTTAACCAGAATTTTTTGGTTGGGTTGTTACAATTCAGGTTATACTCATTTACACCTATATTATGGAAAACTCTTTTATTTAATGACTACTTTTCATGTAAATGAAAGTTTGTTGTTACAAATTGACTGTGTATATAAGTCCAATCTCAAAGCTGTCTGCTTGAAAATTTCATCATAACTTATGAGAATGAAAAAAGACTTACTGTATACACCATTCAGAAGATATGCAATTACTCTACGTGATAAATCCACCACTCATCTGTCAGTTTGTTATACTGTGGTGGTTTGTATGTTGCTATGAGGCTGCAGGCTCTGCCACTGGTATTTAAAGAAAAACTCAAAAGAAGGAAGGGGCCACCCACTTCTCAAATAATTGGCCAGTAAACACCTTATGAATAGCAGTGAAACACTGTCCCCAGATTCCAGGGACTTAAGAACAGGCTCCACTTTCCAGGAATCCCAAGGACATTCCAGACCCAGATAACTGGAAAGGTACAACATTCCACTTGTTACTCTTATACCCCACACTCTCTTGGTGAACAGAGGTGTGGCAATCCCTCACTCCCACCCACTTTCTGAGCCAGCAGGAACTCCATCCCACTCTGCGAGCTTGTACGGAGCCTGGGTGCCCTGCCCCTTCTTGCCCTGATTTTTTTTTTTTTTTCTGTTATTTAGTTTCTTTTTGTCTGTTTTAAAACTCTTATTATTATTATATCCTTTTTACTATTATTCTTTAATCTTCCCCTCCCAGCCTCTACTATTCAGCTTTTTTCTTTTCCCTGTTCCTGGTTGCAATTTTTTTTTTTTCTTTCTCATGGTTAACCCTGTTCCTTCTTTTTCTTCTATGTTTATCCCATTTTTTTCTTCATTATTCTCCTTCTCTACCTTTTGTGTCTTATTTCCCTCTCCCCAGATATTACACGTATTTTTGGGGTTTGATTTTTTTTTCCTTTTTCTTTTTTTAGTTACTGTTCTTGTGTGATTACACTTTGTATTTTTTGTCCATTTGCTTTTACTTTTTTGATAGTTATTCAATTATTAATTTTGTCTGAGTAGAAGAAAGCAACAGTCCCCATACAACACAACTACACCCACACCTCCTGCAGTTTCACTTACTGAGTGAGAGCCACCACTTCCTTCTCCACCAACAGGCCAATGATAAACAACCACCAAGAAGATCCTGACTCACCTTTGGCTGCTCTTCACAGACAGTATTCAGAGATCTAAATACAACAAC